CCCCCCCCCCCCCCCCCACAAAACCCCAAGCCCTAAACGCTTAAACCCTAAACCCTAAACCTGAACCCCCCGCAACATCCCAAGCCCCAAGCCCTCCTGGGCCAGACAAGCGGCGACCAAATCTTGCTGCTCGCGTGGCGCGGGATGCCTCTCGCCTTAGTCGGGCTTAGGGTTTAGGGTTTAGGCACAGGAAAACCGTTCGGAAGCAGGTCCCTGCACCTTAGACCCCGAGTCTAGGGCCCTAGAAGCCCCACCAGTCTCGCAGACCCGATTCCAAACTTTTTTTTTGAACTCCTTTTTGGACCTGCCCGATCCTCCAAGCAAATCCAAGGCACATATGCGCCAGGAGACTCACTGAACAGTTGTAGGGTTTAGGGTTTAGGATCCCTAAACCCTCAACCCGGAACCCGAACTAGAACCCTCTAAACCCCTAACATAATCTTGCCGGTAAAACCCATCTTACCACCCTGTTGAAGCCTCGCGCTGCAGGCCGGTGGCCCGATCCGTGATGCGAATGACCACATGGCGTTTGTCTGCGCAGACCTGGTGGCTTAGGGTTAGGGTTTAGGCTTTTGTTGGTTTAGGGTTTAGGGTTTAGGGTTTAGGGTGCAATCTTGTGAGTGCTGTGTGGGTGCTTTGCAAGGCGGGGTTTGGGAGCTTAGAGTTGTCTTCAAGGTTTTTGTTGGGCTTAGGGTGTGGTATTTGGAGGTTCGGGGTTTTTGCATTTACGGCGTTGGTCGCGGGGCCCGCAACGAAAAACATTAAAGCCGATGGCTCTAGAGGAAACATTCTGATGCGAACTTCATTCACCTTGTACCCCAAACCCTAAACCTGCAACCCACACCAAACCCTAGTTAGAAGCTCATCTGCATTTTCTCTGCACTCGCTGGAGATCCGCTTGCACCGTCTGCACACGGCGGGGAAATTTCCATCCCGCAAGAAAAAGCCTGGGCCGGAAGTCGTGGCCTGTAGGCCCGGTGCGAAGAAAAACCCGTGTCCTCCCATGTGCCCACCGGTCACCAGTGCGAGCGGCGACGCTTTACAAGCTCCATAGATGGTACCACGATCCAGCAGGGATGTTTCCTTGTGTCCACCGGATAGCCTGGGCCAGGAGCGAGGGGAAAGCTGCAGCTGCCTCCATAACTCTCCTTTTGGTCGCTTCTGCCAGGCTTGGGTAAAAGGTTGAAGCCGCCACTTCCTGAAGGTAAACCTCCATGACCTTGTGGGACACCCATCGTCCCCTTCTTCTGACCAGCTCCGAGTCCTCCGTGGCTTGGAGGAGGTACGTCGCCCCCCCCGGCCTGAAAGAGCCGAGGTCCAGTGGACGGCATGCCGTCCTGCTGGTTGGAATCCACAGCGCTTCCAGTATAGCATCCAGCCTTCGGCGAAGCGTCTGCGCCGTGTAAGGCCACAGCTTGGAGCCTTTTGGGAGCTTGCCGAAAGCCATGTCGACCAGGGAGACCAAGTCGGACGCCTCCAGCTTCGCTGCTTGGTGTCGAGCAACCCTAAAACGGGTCTTGGGTTCCTCTATTTTAAGCAGCGCGAAAGACTGGGTGTAGAGCACGTCCCTTGGCAAAACCAAAGCTTCGCGGAGAGCTCCCGTGCCCTCGCCTATACGTAACAAAGCGCCCCAGGCCAGACCAAAAAGCCCAGCCTCTTGCTTCCAGCCCCAAAGCAGACTGACGGCCACGACTGCCAATAAAACCACGGCCGGCATGGCAACGTGATGCGTGTGAGGCTCCATGGCCATCCAGGAGAAGGCGACGTCCCAGGCCCCTTGAAGCTGACGTCTTATGGCTGGCCTTTTCGAAGACACCGCGTTGATGGTCTCCGACAGGTGCCAGTAGGGGTACCCAGCCTCAAAGAGCTCGCGGCCGTAGCGAGCGAGAGCTCTTGCAACCTCTTCGGCGGGCCAGTCAAAGTAGCCTTTTGCGTCAAAGCCCGCCATAGCAAGCCAGCTTTCAAAAGCCTTCAAGAGACTGCCCCGGTTCAGAGCAGTCCGTTGCAGCACTGGGCGCCCTTCTGGGAGAGGCGTGGCGGCCCTCTGCCTCTGGCGCTTCTGGTCTTTGTCGTGCCGCGGTTCAAGCGGCCCTTCTCCTGGGTAGCCAAGCGTGGTGTCAAAGGTCGCGCGCGGGTCTGCAGGCACAGGTTGTGGCGGAAGCTCGGCCCTAAACGGGGAACCCAGGAGGCTAAGTAAAACCCGGAACCTAGTCCTAGAAACCCTTAAAGAGAGGAGCAGGGACAGCCTGAGCCATCCCGCGGTGGGCGCCGCAAGTCCAACACATCCCGACACAAGCACAAGGTCCGTCCCCGACAGCGCGTCCGTGAGGAGCGTCCCAGCTGCGGAGCGTAGGGGCGTATCCCGAGTAGGGTCGTCTGCCACATTCAGCCGAGTGGGTGCGTGGCTCATGCCGAGGTAGACGCCTCCTGCCACAAGGGTTGCCGACATCTTTAGGAGGGCGGGCCTGAGAAGGCGGGAGGAGGACCGGCCCTTGGCTATGGCTCCTCGGCCCACGGCCGAGTCGAGCAACAGAACGACCTTACGATCCCCCCCTAAGGCAGCAACCTTCCGAACGACCTTGACAGCAGCGAGGGTCTCCAACACATTTATGTGCACCCGGCGCCTCCACTTCCACTCTGACACAACCTCCCACCTCGAAGCAAGAAGGAGGTCATTGGCAAGCAGGCTTTCAAAACCTGAGGGGCGTGGGGCAGCAGGGGCCGGGCATGCCTGAACAGCCGAAGCGATGCAGTCAGCAACGTGTTGGGCGAAGCCAAGCTGGTAGCACAGGGGCTTGCAGGCACCAACTCGAGGCCCCGAAGCAGGAGCAGAGGTCGGAGGCCTCAAAGGTGGAAGCCCACAGGAGATGGCCCGCAGGTTCGGGGAGTCAGGGGCCCCAAAAAGCCTAGCCTCTAGAAGCTCCTCCCTGAAAGCAGCTTTCTTTCCAAGGGAAACCCAGACCGGATGGAAGCACAGAAGGGAGGAAGCCGGGTGGAGGAGGCAGGCTGCAACTTCATGGCGGGCAGCGACCAGCAGGACAGTGAAGCAACTGTGTTCGCCCTGAGGACGGGCCCAAAGCCCGGCCGAAAACCCAGAGGCCTCAGAGCAGATCGCAACGGGGGGCAGCCCGCTCTGGCAAAGGTGTTGACAGGTGGGCGCAGCAAGATGGCTCGCACACGGCCCGAGCTTACGAGATGAACCAGCCACTCGCAGAAACGGAAGGACCCGAGGTCGTAGTGGGGAGACCTAGCAGCGTGCAGCTCCGGCCCAACCTTCAGACCTCGAGCCTTTACCTCAGAACGGAGGGGCGAAGGCTCGCCTACCTCAAGCACCTCGAACTCAAAAGCAAAGGGCTTTGCTACGGCAAGGGCGGGGGCCTGGAACTGAGCGTCAGTCTCCTCGGTGGGTCCACAAGGGCCTTCAGCAGAAACACCTCCTGGGGGGTGGCGGTGTGATCCCGAAGCCTGCAAAGTCACAGCTTCACCCTCGAAGTCAGAGGCCAACCACAACTGCAGGGCGACCTCAGGAGGCACCTCGGTGGCGCAGTATGCCCCCTTTTCCATAGAAGCATCCGAGGCGAAAATCCGGGAGTCGGGCTCGGCAGAAAGATTCGAGACAGCAACCGGGGCGAGCACAGCAAGGAGCTGAAGCTCGGAGGCGGTCTTGCGAGGCAACGGCTTGAGGTCTGAACCCGGGTCGGGTGGTGCAGCTTCGGCCCGGCCCAAAGAGAAGAGCCTGTCGAGGGCACTCATCAAGCAGCGGCGGTAGAGCAAACACGACACCCAGCTGCCACAAAGAGTGGAAACAAGCTCCTCGCTCAAAGCTGGGCACTGGGCAGCACGAACAGAGGCAGCTGCCAGGGCGATTCTTTTGGCGACGGGGTACCCACATAAAGTCATCCCATCGGCGACCGTGCTTTCACTGGAGTCGATTTCAGCACCGGCCACCTTGAAGTGGCGTTGGTCCCGCACGTCCTTGTCATCCGACCCTAGGACAGCCTCCCTCCTGTAACCTATCTTTGCTCGGTCGATCAGCTCGGAGGATGAGGGCGAAGGTGTCCCTGCAAGAAACCCGCCAGGCTGCACAGCGATGGCAAAGAAATCATCAATTATGAGTCCCTGCCACGGCCCGGCCGGCGCGACAGGATGGGACGACTGGAGCCTGCCCGGCCCAAGAAGGCAGCCGGAGCCCTGCAAAAGTCCTTCATGCCCCGCTGTTGCAAACTCGACCCCCCCGGCGTCGCCCTGAAACAAGGCCTGAAAGGTGAGGTGCACAGCTTGCTTGTCAGGGGCCAGGAGGGCAGGGCGATCAAACTCAAGTTGTTCAGCGTAAAGGGCGGGGTCAATGCAGTGGACCCTAGGCCTTTCACGAAAGCTGGCTTCAGCTACCGTGCCCGCAAGCCAGGACAAAGGGACGGCAGGCCCAACAAGATTGGTGCTGGCACGCTGTGGGCTTATCATAGCCTGGGTATAAAAATCTCTTCTGTCGGTCACCGACCCCACTGCACAAAAGCCTTCTGGCACGTGAAGTCGGCAGAGCAGAGGCCCGGTGGGAAGCCATTTTGAGGGTCCTGCCAGCCGGGATTCCCAACTGTTTTGCCCTCTGCGGTCTCCGATCTGCCTCTGCTTGCCAGGTGCTTTGTAAGCTCTAAAGACTCTTGTCAGCAGTCGGTCTGGCAACGGCCCGGCCGTAAGGCTGAGTAGCCCCGCGGCGTCCCAAATGCGGGCTAACTTCAAAATCTCCCGCTTATTCTCGCCCAGGAAGGTGGCACAAGGCCCACCGGTGCCGGCGAAACGAAAGCAGTCGGGCTCAACATAGGGCAGGTACAGCTCAGGACCCAAGTGAGCCGAGAGGTCCCAGGAGCCCCGGCCGTGAAGGACAACCTGGTCGGCCAGGATGTCTCGGTAGGGTCGTAGGGCATCTGGACCCTCAGGTGCATGCGGAACAAAACCAACAGGCGGCTCCGAAGCAGAGGGATAGCCGCCGGCTTCAAAGCCCTGGTCCCGCAGGAAAACAACCACTTCAGAGAGCCGGGCAGCGAGCTGCAGGCCCTTTCGCCCAGCACAGGTGGGGACGGCCCCGGCCTGGCGGGCACACGCTCTAACAAGCCCCTGGATCCGGGCATAGACCTTGGTCTGAAGCGGGGTCAGAGGCCTCTGCAGGCTGCGGAGGGGAACAGGCTTGCACCCGGCATGCATGAAATTTAAACACATGGCAACCAGATGCGTACAGCGGGCAACGTCGCCACGAAGCGTTGCCTTTGCACTCCTGCAGGTCCGTTGGTGGAAGACCCCCTCGTAGAAGAGAGGCAACGGGAAGAGAGCGGCTGAGGAGGGGAGGGCCTCCTTGCGCAGAGCAAAAGTCGAAACAAGAAACCTGCTAAGCTGAGTGTTGCCGGCCTTCAGCAAGCGGGGCAATACAGCCAACCACTTGTGGAAACTGAACTCAGCCGCCTCGCTATAGAGCAGCCCTTGCAGCGGGAACACGCCGGCACGATCATTGTCGGGGGCGCCACCATCCGAAGAAGGGAGAGCAGAGGCATCAGGCGAAGATGAAAAGCCCAATTCAAAGGCCGGAGCAGATGAAGCACCCGGGGGCGAAGGAACAGGATTGGGGCCCGCGGGGGGCGTGCATCGGGCCTGGGGGCCCGCCTGGTAACTGACATTCACCGAAGCACCCTGGTTCTCAGCAAGAGCAGCCGGGGAAGACGAAGACCCCTCCCCTACACGAGAAAGGCTTTTCGAGCTGCCTTGCCGGAGGTCACTGGTCACTTCTTTGGGTTTTGGGCGCCGGCTGCTTTGCGGGCAGCCCACTGGGCAGCTCGGAGCTGCTTCTTGGACAGCTGCTGCTCCTCCTCGGCAGCCGGCGTATGCGGCGTGGCCGGGGGTTTCACCGGTGGCTTTGGTGTGCTGGCCTTCGGCTGAGTTTCCGAGATTCGGGAAGAGATGGTCTCCAGTTCCTTGGCATACGCAAGTGCTATGGTAATCCATCTCTGCTCGGCCAGAGGGCTGAAGGACTGCAGGTTGGAGCCGGGCACCGCTGTCTGTGCAGCAAAAAGGTTTGAAGGGGGGTCGGCCTGTAAAGTGAGAAGCCACCCCAGGGAGCTGTTTCCTCGGTCGTGGGCCGTCTGGTCCAGCATCAGCAGGAGGAGGCTTAAGCTGTCTTTTGCCCCTTCGGTGGCACCTATGGCTATCAAGTCCAAAGCCTGAGCCACCTGCCAAGCCACCAGACCTAAGAGGGGCTGGGCTGAATAACCGCCGTGGCGCTCGAGGTACCGAAGGAAACTCACCTGATCCTCCGGCAGCAGGCCTGTAGGGTCCATGCGTCTGGTCATGTTTTCCCGGACCTTCTGAGCAAAAACGCCGGAGCGTGAGGCGAGGTCCTGCTGGAGCTTTGCCCGCCCGGCGGCGCCTCGCACAGAAGCCTGACCTGTTGGCACCTCCAACAAAGGGTCGGCACTTGAGCCCGAAAGCTGACTCACCAGAGCCACCAGAGCCTGAGACTGGGCCAAAACAGCCGAAGCAAGCGAAGCGTCCTGGCCTACACCTAGGGGCTCGCCGGTCTGGAGAGCACGCTGCCCTTTCTCCTCCAAGTCCACCTGCACGTGTGCCGCGGGAGGCTGCTGCCTTGTTAGCGGCGGCGGGCCTAAAGTGGCGGCAAGGTTCTTGGGAACCGACTGGAAGGGAGGCAGGACGGTCTGGGCCAGAGGCTGGCTTAACACCGGGTGAGGTAGGGCAGGCTGAGGTGCTGGCGGGGGGTCCTGCGGCGGATGCGGCTTGCCCCCTTACGCAACTATAGAATCCAGGCGGTCTACCACAGCCGCGACCACCTCCATCATCTTCGCCTGCTGGGATGCCAGCTGAACCATGGTCGGCCTCTTGGGCTTCGCGGGCTTGGCTCGGTTTGCCGGCCCCACGTCGGTGGCCGAAACAGCCGTCTGGTAACCTGACCTGTCTGCAGGAAGTGTGCCGTCTGCTTGCAGCCACTCCTTCGCCTGCCTCAGCACCTCCGAGGCCAGGGGGAAAACGGAAGGCGAGCCCGGTCGGAAGCACACCAGGTCGTCTGCACTTAGGTCTGCTGGGCTGAGCTGGTCGGCCAAGTGAGAGGCCAGATCCACAATCAAGGCCTGCACCGTTTCGGGGTCGGCCGGCGAAATCCACTCCCCCGTGGGGGTCAGCTGAACAGGGGGGGCCGAGATACCAATCGACGGCCCAATCCCTTCCTCCTCCCCGGCCTGTTGGCCTTGCTCCAGCTCCACCTGAGAAAGGAAGCCATCCGGAACACACAGCAAAAATCCAGAAGGCCGCTTCATGATAACATATGCGAGGCATGCTTGCGGTGTTTGGTCCTCGGCCGCGGGCGGCCAGCTAAACTCCAAGACCTCCACGGAACCAGTCTCAAAAGAGGTAAGGGTCGCAAAGTCCATCACCGGGTCAAAGAGGACGGATAGGGCAAGCCAGCCCCTGCGAAGTAGACGCGGGCCTCCGAAGAGGAGGGGAAACCGTGGGACACGGATGAGCCAAGCCGTGGGCCAACGACCCTGCGAAAGGTGCCGAGGGAGGAGCAGACGACAGCCGAGTCCAGCCGGTCGGCACGCAGCACACAGTAGAACCGAGAGGCCAAATCCAGAGGCTCCGAAGGATCGGGACGGTCTACCTTCCGATCTAGCACAGCACGGGCCCAGCAGCCGGCCCTCCAGGCACGCTCTGCCCTCTGGCGGGCTCGAGCTTGGCACTTGCTAGGCCGCGACACAGCCCAAAGCAGAAGTCAGGGGTCTCCGGAAAGGACAAGGCTAAGACCTGCCTGGCCTGGAAGCCGAGGGGCGAAGCTCGCGCAGACAAGGGGTACTCAGGCACGACCGAAATCGAGGATGGCGAGGCTTGCTGGCTGGCTGCGGGGGTGGGCTGCAGTGGAGGCGAGCCACTGGCCGGATCATCACGCACAGGTTGCCTGGTCTTAGGGGAAGGGTAAGCCTGGCCCTGGGCAGAGGAGGCCGGCAGCACACGGGTTAGGGAATTAGGGCTTAAGGCCGGATCGGCTGCAACAAGCGAAAAACCCGACAAAGAAGTGGCAGGGGAGGAAGCTCGGGCCTGGGACCCGGAAACCCTAAGACCCCTAAGCCTAAGGGAAAGCCCTTCCAACTCGAGAGACAGGTCCCAAGCCGGTGGCTCCGAGTCACTCATGCACGTAGGCTTGCAGCCTTGCTCTTCCCCGGGTACGCTGAGCTGCCTCCCGCGGGCCTCGCACCTCGAAGTTTTCCGCTGATCCTGGCAGCCGAATCAGAAAATAATACACGGCCACGGCTCCTCCAATCGAGCCTAAAAAAAGACCTGTAAGAAAGCTGGGACCCCAGCCCTGGTGAACTGCAGTAAAATGGGCACGCCAGGCGGCAGAGGTGGCTAGTAGCTCCCTGGTGCAGAAAAGAGAGCACCCTCAAAGTGTTCTCCACAACCATGAGCGACCTAGCTTCCCCTGAGAGCTTGAGAGGCGATGTTCGGCATTTGATTCGCTTCTACAAGTACAGGGTTCAGAATTCTTGGAGATATATGGAAGCTTAGGCATGAAAATCGTTGCCAAAGAGTTGCCATAGAAGCTACCAGAAGAGGGCACTTTCAGGGTTGCCGTAAGCGCTTTGAGCGGTAATACGTGCAGTTGGAAGTCGGGTGCATTCCTGAAAGTTTCGGGGTTTAGGGGTCTAGGGTTTGCTTAACGCTTAGGGTTTAGGGAAGAAGGGAACCCTGACACAGAAACAAATGTGAGGAGCGACCACAACCGTCCCGAAAAACCCTGTAAGACCCCTCCTAAGAACCCAAACGAAGCCCCTGTACATGCCTATGATACCCTTGCAGGACCCTAAGAAGCCTTACTACAGGGGCCTGAAGAACTACCAATACTGTCTTGCGGGGTCCCTATTACAATTATGCTATACTACACCCCAAAACCCCTATGTTATGCAGAAAGCAAACCCTAAACCCTAAACCCACAGACCCTAAACCCTAAATCCTAAAACCCTAAAACCCCGAAACACTAAACCCTAAAAACCCTAAAACCTCCCTAAAACCCTAAACCCTAGAAACCTAACACCCTAAACCCTAAAACCCTAAACCCCAAACCCTAAACCCCCTAAAATCCCTAAAACCCTGAAACCCTAAAACCCTAAAACCCTAAACCCTAAAACCCTAAACACCCTCAAAACCCTAAACCCTAAACCCTAAACCCCTAAAAACCCTAAACCCCATAAACCCTAAAACCCTAAACCCCCTAAAAACCCTAAACCCTAAAAACCCTAAAACCCTAAAAACCCTAAAAACTCCTAAGCCCTAGCCTCTTAAAAGCGCGCGTCTTTAAAGAAGCGCATGCCGGGCGGCCACGACATGTATCGGCAGATTCGAAAGCTCCTTATGGGGTGATTTCCGAAAAGAGAGAGGACCCTAGGGTTTAGGGCTGTAGGGTTTAGGGTTTTAGGGTTTAGGGTTTAGAGTTTAGGGTTTAGGGGTTTAGGGTAAGGGTTTAGGGTTTTAGGGTTTAGAGGGTTTTAGGGTTTTAGGGTTTAGGGCTTTAGGGTTTTAGGGTTTTTTAGGATTTAGGGCTTTAGGGTTTAGGGTTTAGGGTTGAGAGTAAAGTACCTTAAAGAGTAGGATCCTTACTATAAGGATCCCCAAATACGGTACCCCTAATTTTCGAAAGCTCCTTTTCAACTCGAGCGAGTCTGGTGGGTTTGGGGCTTTTTAGGACTTCGGGTGGTCTGGTAGTTTAGGGGTTTAGGGGTTTAGGGTTTAAGATTCAGGGTTTGGGGGTTCAGGGTCTAGGATTTAGGGTTTAGGGTCTAGGATATAG